ATCCGAGAGAACATGAGCGAAATCCTGTACAGACTTACTTCCATGAAATTCAAGGTATGTTTGTAAGGAACTGGGTTGCACTGCTTGTGGTGACCTTCCAGTGCCTCTGAAAGGTTGTCTCTCAAAGGTGGTCATCAGTTGCTTCAGATAAAGATCTATAAACAGGGACTTCTTGCAATCATTTTGAATACCCTTAAGAAGTGGTTTTAGGTTGTGAGCACAAGAACGGTCAGTACAGAAATCTAGTTGGGTGATGCTGGCTGCAGAGTCTTGGCAACCCCACCTTCAATAGTCTGTTTTATGTTACATGTATTAATGGTAATAGTACAGGCACCTTTCCTGGTTTTTTTTGGGGATGGGGTTGTGATAACATTCTGTAAAAAATGTTCTAAGGAGACTATTAGCAGATAAAAGCATCCTCAAGTGAATGATAGAAATGTTGATCGAACTATTTTAAATAGAAGTTAAGGAAAGAAATACTAGTCTCCTGCAGTAACGTGTGATGTGCCCTGTGTTTGGCTTCAGGACCTAGGGCAGCTATCTAGGAGGAGAGGAAGGGAGGAGTAACTTCAACATGGGCTAAAGAGAAAACAAGTAGCTCAGAGCACCTGCACTGGGTAGCTTCAGTAGCCATCTTTTTAGGGTACAGCTTTCCTAAAACTCATCCAGAGCATGGTGGCATAGCAGTTACTGGTAGGGCAGTAACATGTGATGCTGGCTCATGGTAAAGTAGACAAGGAATATTTTCTATGTAGTATAATGCTTACTCCATTGTAACTCCTTATAAGCCAATAATGGAAATCTTTCAAGAACAAGTACCATAAGATAAAATTATATTTAAAATTAAGAGTTCTGGTGTACCGATGTATTCTGTTCCTGCAGGGTACTAGCTTGTTTCTGCAGTAAGCAGATCCCTGGTCTATATTCTCAAAGCATCAAGAGCACAAGATACATGTTGGGGACATGAGCGTCTTTGAGAGCTAGTTCTGTAGAGATAGGGGAAGTAATGAACTTTTTACGAACCCCAGCCACCAGAAAACATCTAGCATGCAGTAGAGTGGTGGACAGCATGGCTGAAAAGGGGAATCCAGAGGGTGAATACATGTTAAGTGGAGGTGGCCATCTAATACATTAATAGTTATGAAAGGAAAATTATATTTCCTGGGCAATTCCCGCCTAAAAGGAGCAAGAATTTAAATGTCCTGCATTCTGCAGTCTGTACTTTGGAGAAACAATGAAGAAGTAGTGCATCCACACATGGAAGTCCTCTGTGTTTCCCAAGAGCTGCACTGACCCAGAGGAATGTAGTGCTGAGAGGGGAATGGTGAAGACATTGAATTCACAGCCTGGCAGTTCATGCTTCTTGCAGGGAAGGCCTTGCAGTCTCAAAGCAAAGCTGATTGTTACGTGGTTTTGCCCTTGTCTTTCATGAAAAGTATTCTGAGAAAATGAAGCTGTACAGAAATGATTTTGAGCTTGTTATGATTGCACAGTAAGATTTTAATTGGAACTGAGTGACCTCCAAGTGATGTCAAAGTAACTCTTGCACTTATAGGGGATGCACCCCAAAAAGTACAGCAGTGTTTGTGAGTCACAAAGATCATTACTCCATTTGGCCTGGGGATAGAAGCTGGTATTAATCACTGCAGCTCTTGAATCACACAGCATTAACTAAGACCTTCAGTATTATTGAATCCTCTCCGAATCAGTGGCTTTTCAATAAAGCACTGCTCATGAAAAAAATTTCTCTGTCCAGTATCCATTCTGCCTGCTCACTTACTGTGGAAAGAGGATGAGATTTGAACCTTGTGGCTGTTAGTGAGACAGACAGGAGGTGGAGATGGAGCTATAATGCCTGCTCTGCAGTTAGTGAATGTTAATCCTGAGGTTGAGAAATTACAGCACTGGCAAAGCAGGGTTGTCTTAAGCACCCAAGGCTTTTCCTGACAGATATGTTAATTTGCTGTGTTTGTCTTTCAGGACCCTGTGAAAGATGGTGAAGCAAAAATCAAGGCGGACTATGCTCAGCTGTTTGAGGATATGCAGAATGCATTTCGCAGTCTGGAAGACTAGACTTAACCTCTGTGACCACTCATTTGTCCTCTCAGCTCCTCCGCTTCCCTACCTTACAAGAATGATGCAACAGTACTTGAGTTGATAAATAGCCCTATGTTTTCCCTGTTCATATTTGGAGAGTGTCCTTACAAAACATTCCTCTTAGTGTGTGTTTGGCATTGCTTTGTGTGTCTGAAATGGTGAGTGATGTGTGAATGGGCCTGGCTGAGTAAGGAAATGCTGTTGTACACTTCTAGGGTGGGAAGAATTTCACCTTGCCTCTCCCAGCAATCTTGTTACATCCCAGGGTGAAAGATTCGTTACCCAGTTGAGCTGTACTGGTAGAGGAGGTATAGATCTTAGTGCAGTCGCATAGTATGTTCTGAGCTGGCAGTGGTAAGGGCATTTACATCTAGCACTTTGCTAAGTGACTATCATGATGTAAAACTCTCTATTCTCAAACTGAATTTTTGACCATATTCTGACATGTTGACACAACCAAAAATTCTTCACTACTCTGTCCCTTCTGAGTCTGTTGGTACTGAAATATGGCAGTTCTGGATCTCTTCAAGACTAGAAGATGAGCACGTACAAGCAGACAGTATACTTTTATACACTGGAGAAAAAGAATTTTATTTTCCTACTTAATATAGGTAGGACTGTTGGACTTGGCATCAGCTAAAATGAAAGGCATAGGTGCTCAATTTCCAGCCGAATTTTACCTTCTTGCCTCCCACTCACCCCATAAAATTTCACAACACTCAGTTGCTTTAGCTTGTGAAGCTTGTGACTGCTGCCACGTACTGCAGGACATGCATAGCAAGTTACAGTGATGCCACCTGTGTAGACCAGGAACACAGTCCTTCCTTGGTGGTGTTCTGTCTGCCAGCGCAGTTGCCTCCCAGTGCAATGCCCAGGTCATGCTAAGGAAAGGAAAGTGCGTGCTTAACCTTCCTCCTCCACCCGTGCTCACATGGCCTGTTTGGCGGTGGCACAGAAGGTCCCCAGTTCTTGTGTAGGAGGAATGTATGATGCTACACTTCTGGGGGCAGGGGATGGATAGGGGGGAAGGTTGACAAGTACAAAATCTATTTACTCTTGCCTTGATTACAGCGCAAGAGAAACCAGTGATTCTGGTCTGCTCTATGCTCTGGAAGCACTCTATCGATAAAGGGGCTGAAACTGCTGTGTCTTGGGCTTGTTTATTGGCAAAACTAGTATGAGATGAGGAACTAGCATAGGGCAGCCTTTCTGTCAAACTCCAGGAGCTCGACACTCCTATCATTGCTGCAGAGTGAGAGAAAAATGCTGGCACCCTCTCCAGTCTCTGCCTCTCATTTGTGTCAGGTGGCATCTAGTGCTGCTTTGTTGTGCAGCATTCCGTGCCCATCTACTGCTTTGTTATGGTCATGAAAGAGTAAGCATTGTAGGTGACCCCGTGGCAGTGGCATGGCTATGTAAGTGTTAATTCTGCACTGAAGTATTTCCACTGGCTGCTGGCTTTGAACAGTAGTGATGCAAAGGGATCTTTCACTATGGACCAAATGCTGCCACTTCCATTATGGTATCAGATTGCTGTTTGTCAGGAACGGCCTGGCTGAAGCTTAAAGGGATTAACTATTTTTGGTTCTCCCAAAAGAAACTACTCCTCCAGCTGATACTCTGGTAGTGAATGGTTACGTTTACAGCTCACTAAACTTGGCGTATGCTGCTTATTTTACCAATGAGCATGTGTGAATGAATAGTCACCATCCAAGCCCTTGCTAGATTCCTCATCATTTGTACCCTTCACCACTGTACAATGTATCATGTCATGCTAGAAACCAGATGTTCTTATCTCTTTTCTTTAAATAGAGGATGTTATAAACTTGACAGAAGATGTCTAAGATAATGCAGTTCTAATATTTATTGTGCTGTACCTGGCCCTGAAGTGTGACCAGTTCAAACAGTTTCATATATATTTTTGTCTTTTTTTGTTTTGTGTCTGTTTTCAGTGTTGAGATTCTGATGTTCACTGTGACCTGCAAATCTTCCCTCCATAGCTGTGGGAAGAATTAAAAGATGGGCAGAACCCTACCACCTACATTATCGTGTATATTTCATGATGTATGTTGCTGGAAATTGTGTTAAAAAAATTTAAAAAGTTTAAGTTGATGAAAATAAAATGGATTTAAAGTAGGTCATATCTGTCCTATTTCTTATGTCAAACCAAACTTGTACCACAGTGCTGTACACGGCATACCATCAGGAAAGCTCACAGCTTGCTTGAAATCTTCATCACGTTAGGGATTTCTTTAAACCTCTAAGCAGCAATTTGGCAGGGGCACTTTACTTCAGTTCTCTCATTTACTTCAGTCTTTCCCAGACATTACATGAGAGAGTTGTAATGTAGTAAATGTTTGTGGGGTAGGTATTTTTAGGACTACTTTTATTACAATAAAAGTACAACTGTAAACTTGCCTCTCACTGCTAGTACCTGCCACGCATGCTAATACAACAATTGTACCATTTTATGGCACTTTGCTAAGCCTTAAAATATATCCCTGCTGTGTACCTCCTGAATTCCTTGTAACAGCTCAGCTGTGTGTTTCAGACAAACTGACTGGAACTTCTGCATTGGAAGATAAAGAGCAGGGCTGGCCACAGCCTGAAAGGAACATGTTAGCATTACATTTTAAATATAGAGTCAAGACTTTCTGTAAACAGTAACAGATGAAGTGAGAATAAACTAAAACCATCACATTCAGGCATTTTTGTACATATTTGACCACTGTGTAACACCTCTTTGAAGGAAGTGTGTTGCTATTTTTTATATATATATATATATATATTAGAGATACAACAAGCTCAAGTAGAGCAGACGTTCACATAATTCCACCACATTAAAGGTGCTAGCCAGCAGTTCTCTGTGGACGTTAAGAAATCCATAGAGAGAAGCGATGAGTTCAGGTTTTGGCAGCTTGGAAGTTACCAACTGGCACCATCCTGACTTCATCCACTCTACTTTTGTGGATCTGGAAGGCCGGAGTCACCCAGCGGCCACAGGAACACTGCTCACCCCGCCAGCTGAAGGAGCCCAGCTTCGACATGCATTTGGGACACAGAAGCTGCAAGAAGAACACAGTCTAAGGCACATGCATATGTAGGTCTATCTAAAATGTGCTTCTATCGTACATTAAATTGTGGCAACCCGTGCTCAGCCAGCTCCTTCCTTTTCAACACTTCACAGGGCTGAAAAACAGGCAAAAAACCTAAACTGGCACGGCTGTATAGCGCTGGGGTGAAGCAGGCAGCTGTGCTGGCAGAAAGGAGGGTGTGGACATGCAGCTGCTCTGACCTGGTGTGGTTCCAGGACAGTCTTGCCACTCTCCAGAAAGCCTCAGTCAGCCTGAGACCACAACAGGTTTTTTTAAGTCCCATAAACTCTCTTCTCATACTAAAATCAAACAGCAGATAAACCCCTGTCCAACACCCTGGCTAGTGTTCTCAGTCCAGCAAGATCACTAGCTTATTTCCTTAGGATATTTAACATTTAAGAATCCGTTCATAAGCTGCAAAATTCACCCCAGAAAGGCTGGAAAACCTAGGACCTTGTGTGAGGGCTTTTGCATCAGGAAATAGAAACAGTTTGTTCTGCCTTTACAAAAAAACCATCCAAACAATGAAGCACATGCTCCCCTTCACCTGTCCTTCCATTACTCCAAGCAACGCTGGCTCCATCCACTGCACGGGCTCGGTGAAGTAAGATGTACACTTTTCACGGCCATCACCGCAAAGCTGAGCAGAGTCCGTTATCCTCTTGTGGGCAAAGGCCGCCGGTCCGCTTCCTTCCATGTGGGACAAAATGCTGGAACTACGGAACAGAGCACGCCTGCCCTCCACAACAGAGTGGAAAAAAGAAGTAGAATAATTGGGTTTCTACTGGGGAAACCTACAGACAATAGAAAATAGCTACCCCACAGCTATATGCTGTCTCTAATATAAATCTATTTTTAAACAATTCCTACCTACTTTAAATCTGCACTCATATACTTGAAGAAACCTACACCTAGGAAATAGCAGGATTATTCAATTTCACTTTAAATAATCCATAAAAGGTAGTTAAAAATGTAGTAAATCCCCAAAATCTACAAGAAGTTTCTTCTAGAGAAACTGATTGTCAAAAACAAACTAGAAGTTATGGTTTCAGAGCAAGCAACTTCAGAGAGCCCAGTGGAACTATGCCTGCCTATAGAATGTGGCAGGTTAGGCTGCACAAGTGCTGCACAACTTAAAGGAGCAAAAGATTTGTATTTCATAAGGTACTTTCATTTGACTAATTTTTTGTGGCATACACTGTATGGAAACTTAGGGAAGAGCTCATCCCTGTCCTCACAATAATGACGTGCCCCTGATTTACATGGGCTATTTTTCTCTTGAATCAATTTCAAAATGACATTTAATGGAGAAATATAAAAGGTTCAGTACCTGCATTTCCTGCACCTATAGAGAACCTCTGTGTTTGGAGTTGAACACATACTGGTTGGATCAACAGCAAAGATTTCTCGGGGCAAGTCTTGAAGTTCTGTGGAGGGGTCAGTACCAAGTTGTGAATCACATCAACACAGACACGCTGGATTTCTGTGGGACAAGAGAGCACTGCGCCTCTGCCCCAGTCACAGAATGCAGAATCTTTCCATTTGTTTGGCCACTCACCAATACCATTAGATAAGATGAAAATGAAAGAGCCTCATCCTACCACACCCAAGATTGGGATTCACTTAATGCCAGGAACTGGGATCTAAACTTTGGCCTTAGCAACAGTAAAATAGTTGCATTTTGCTTTATGTTCTTACTTAAACAGAAAGTAAAGGCACAGGAGGAGTTCTGCCAATCTTCTAGCGCACAAGCAGAAAAGTGTACATTAGCGCACATACAGCCAGCTTATGAATGGGAACTGCTAAGGAGAGTGACATAAATGGAGAGAGCACTGTCATGCTGAATATGCAACACTGAGACAGCTATGGATTATTATTTTATTATAAAATTTCACATATGCACACATATCTACTACAGTCAACCTTCTTCAAATTAAAGTATGAAAGTTTACTTCATACCTTGATTTAAACTTCATCTCAGTTTTGCATTTGTAATTTTTTTAATTCCATTGGCTTATTTTTAGAGGATGTTAAGTTTGCCTAGCCAGGTACATAAAAATCACAGGACATATCAAACTGACCTTTACCATTTTTGAATTTTGCTGAAGAGCACAGTTCCTATGGATCTCATTTCTCAGGCATATCTCAAAGACACTTTTTTCCCCACTGACGAGCTACAATTCTCTAGAACCACTATGATGAAAATGTTTGCCTGGCCAACTAAAGGCTCGGCTTTTTTTTTTAAAAGTCAACCGCCTCTGACAGGGCCTTCTGCGTTCATTTCAGGACAGACTGGACCCCCCAGGGACCACCCCCCATGGGAGACTGCCCCAAGCTTCGCCCCAAGCCCCCGCCCCGATGCTCAGCTCGGTCCCGCCG